CTTGAACATAATTAATATAAAACAATAAAATAGTAACAAAAATAATATGATAAATTATAAATCCAGATCTTTAACATAATTAATATTAAACATAATGAAATAATAATAATAATAATATGATAAATTATACGTGAAAATACAATACTTTGAATAGAAGTCACGGATTTTCATGCGACGCGTTTAACAGAATCACCCGTGACTCAGCTGCAATAAATTAATTATTTATTCTAAAGATTTCATATTACAATAAAAGTTAATTCTGTTGAAAAATAAAAATGATTATTTTATTTTATCACCTTATATAATTATATGAAACGTTTGAATAAATTTGGAAAATTGGAAAGACAGTGAAAACCTCAACAAGATTTGGAGACTAACATCTCGAACAGATTGCTGAATGAGATTGTAAGATGAATTACAAACAGGAGAGCCGAGGTGCGGCTGTGCCAGCCGTGAATTCTCGTTCTTGCAATTCCCGACGGGAATCACGAGAGGACGAGGTGATTGTATGACACTTTTTCACCTATACAAGCGACAAAAGTGCGCACCGTTATGGTTCGTGACGGAACGCTTGTCGTGACTGTCGTGCTTACGCAACTCTGGGTTCCAGACTCGATTTAAGCGCCGGAATGTCCATCGCGATATCCCAGAGACGTCAGCCTCCATTCATGCGTTTTCCCGTCCATCATCCACAGATTAAGCTGCCATCCCGCATTGTTCGCGTCGATTCTCGACGATCCCCCGTCAGATTCGACGGTGAGTCGCGTGTCTCGTGTCAAAAATCGTGGCGAGTCTTACTAATCTTTTTTACCGCGATAACAACACAAAAAATACTTATGCTGTAAGATTTAAAAGTTTTCAGTCCAAAGATGATAAAGAAAAAGATAAAATGCAATTATTTTTATCTTTCATTATAATCAATAAATGTTTTAGGTGAATTAATTTTTCTACTAATAAAAATTTTGAATTTTTGTTTTTAAAATGGTTGAAAAAAAAACTGTAGAAATTACTCCTTCTCTATCGATAAATTTTTTCCATGTACGTTAGACTTTGATTTTTTATTTTTAAGTGAAATACCTTAAGAACAAAATCTTCAGAATATTTTAAATTGCAGTGGTAAAGAAATTAATTTATTCTGAAAAATTTATTGAAATAAAGGTTAACTATATACTGAAAAATAAAAATAATTGTTTTCTTTTATAACATTTGCATTTAAATGATTTAACTGCAAAAATCATTTTTTTCATAATTGATAAATTTTTTTACGCTCATCAGATTTTGATTTAAAACAAATATTTTTTATTTTTAAGTTTTTATTATTTAAAACATTTTAAGGACAAAAGTTTAAAACATTTTTAATAATAGAGAAAAATTTATTTATTATTTTAAAAAAAGTTATTCGAATAAAAAATAATGTTTAATTGAAAATTAAAAATGCTTATTTTATTCTAACACCTTTTTGTTCTTGGACTGGAAACTTTTGAAACTACATACATATTACGATAATTGATTGTAAAAGAAATTAAATTTAAATAAAATTAATCTAAATTTTGATAAAATGTACACAGTCTGTCATTTTCTATCTTTTTTATATTTGATTATTTACAGAATATTACTTAAAATATGACGTAATAGAAAAAAATGAATAAAAAATATAACGTTTGTTGACAACAAAATGAGGAATTTTTTTAGATTCTCTTTTATAAATTTTTATAAATTTTTATAAATTTATAAATTCTTATAAAATAGATATTTTTAAATGACCGTTTTAGATCTGTTGGTAAAGCTGCGAGTTAATTTCAACTTACATACTACTAACTCCATCTATTGACTACAGATGGAAATTGTAAATGTTATACTTTGATAAATTAGCACATTATTTATAATCAACGATAATAAGAAATAGCAATTGCGTCATGTTAATTACCGCGCTCTAATATCGATAATAAATCGAAGAAAACATTTTTTCCACGCAATCTTTGATTTGAATTTATAACGAACAAAACTATCAATCCTCTTTTGTTTATTATAAATTTATAAAAAGTGAAATTTAACATAAAATTCTCGTTTTGAACTAACAGTTAATTAATTTTCCTCAAATTACTTAATTTTCCTTATTTTACTAATATTTAGTATTTTTTTAAATAACTGCAAAATATTGTGCTTCAATTCTTGTCTCTATGTTGTTATATTATTTTCAGTTATTTTGATATGTTATTTCAAGACTATTTTTATGGCATCGTCGAAATTACGTCGGGCCGCGCGGGCCATTCACTTTCATCGTCGGGGTGATTGCACTCCAGATTACATCAACAAACACCAACCTGCCGCGGTCGTCGGACCACAAGGGGTTGAAATCCTTGACAATGCGCAGCCGCGCTGACCGCTGTCCACTTCTCTCTTCCTTACAATTCCCCGGAATATTCCCCTGCCTGCTTATATCCGTGTAGAGCCCAGGTGTACCACGAATACTGTTCTATTGTAAAAGTGAGGCGACGCGCCGTGTCAACCGCAATCAAGCAATAAGGATTTCTTCCAGCATTTCGCGATCAACCGGCAAAATAAGGGGCTCCAGGGTGGCGAACGGTGAACCGAGTGAGTATACCGTCTCCTCGAGCGGTCCCTTCCGGACTCCTCGGAAGGGTCCAATCTTAGATCCGTGTTCTTAGATCTCCCAAATCCGCATTGCGTGCCGACACATCTTAATCTCTTGAAAGGGTAGATCATCCCTCGCGGTATGGAGATCACCTCTGGTGGGGAAATGGAAACGATGTTTCCGGAAGTAGGACGAGAAGGAAAAATAAAAGACCTGGATACCTTGATTCGTAATGTTCCTTTTTTCTGTCGTAATATCGAGACTGCTACGATTAAAAATGGGGAATAAGCAAGTCGGAATAGAATCACGGAAATAATTGATGACGCGAAGCAGGTAATTCGATCGGCCGAGCTCTACTTTGTGTCTTTGTTGGACACATTACGGCGCGTCATGTGTAATAGTGGCATTTATTATTAATTAGTTGAGAATTCCTTGGGTTTCTCCTCGACCAAGTTTTGCGTTAACTAAAACCTGGATGGCAAAGGTCCCGCGACTAGGAAGAATCGGTCCGGAAACTTTGGTTTCTCGTTTCTGGTAGACGAAATTTTTCACGAGTCGATAATCGCGCGAAACATAAAGCACAGACCGAGGGATGGAAAAGAGAAATGGGGGATAGATATAATCTGCTTTTCTAAAGGAAGTAGGACAAAGTCGCAATGCCGCATAATTTCTCGTCTACATCGGTTTTCTGTCTAGACCTTCGCTTTTATACTCTGTAATATACTCTGTCTAATCCGCGTGAATTTTTGCAAGTCCTCCGGATAATCATTTTTTTTCTTTCTATCGTTGTGATAAAACATACGCGATATCTTTCTTTCTTCGAAGAAAGTGGAGAAGACATAAAGCAATTTGCTCTCCCCTTCCTGTCCTTTTGTAAAAGGTTAAGGATAGTATAGTCTGTAAAAAAGTAACTTGAGTTGGAAATTTATATACTTTGGAAACATAAAATAGTTTGCTCTCTTTCTTGTCATGATTTTGTTCCATAAAAGATTAAGTATCAGGTGTATCGTTTCTGTGAAAAGTGACTGGAATTGGAAGTTTATACTAAAAGTGAATATTATACATAAGACATATTATTATAAAATAAGATCAATATTTATATTCAATATATTCAGTATTTTATTCAATAAGATCAATTTACATTTAAAATCATTTATATTTATCAATACAATTCTATAATTTAAATGAAAATTTTATATCAATTATTTTTTAGAATCACTTACTTTACTTCTTGTTACAATAATTTTTTATTTAAATTTTAAATTGCAGCTAATTTTTTGTATTATTTTCAAATACAATACAGAAAAAAATTTGTAATTTTTTCCTAATTTTTTCATTTTGTTAAAAAATATTTATAATACATCCTTATGGCATGTCTATATTGTTTAGATAAAAAAATACGAAACCTTTGTAAATTTATACAATTCATAGAGAGTTACTTTTTTAATAATTAAAACTAATTAAAAGTAATAAAATAAGAGTAAATAATTGCATTAAGCACACGCTGAGAAAAAAATAAAAATAATCCTAAATTTCGATAAATATTTATTTGAATAGTACTAACTAAATATTTATTAAATACATAAATATATTTATTTGTAAATATATTGATAAATAAATATATAAATATATTTATTTATTAAATTACAAAAACATTTCTTTTATCAAGTAAATATTTATTTATTGTAAGTAAATATTTAGTTAGGCAATATTCAAATAAATATTTATTTTAATTTAGGCTATTTTTTTCTCAGTGTACGTTATTAATTTGGATTTTTTTATACTCGTTTATTTATTTTACTTTCTGGAACTACTTAATTTTATTTTTCCATTTTTTAAATTTAAAAAGTTTATATTAGCAATAAATGTACATTTATAAAATTTTTATGCCCTAACAAGAATTTATTTGCGAGAAGAAAAACATGTCAACAAAAATTGATTGAAAAAAATCGCCGGAATGGCACCGACGATGCCCGCGGAGGATGTCGCGACGCCACGTGCTGATATATAAAAAAATATATATAAAAAAATCGCGACCTCGCCATAGTCTCGCTATAGAATCCGAGTGCAACAGTTTAAGTTAAGACGCGAGGGGAATAGAAAGTTGCGTTTCAAATCGATATTCAACGATTACAGAAGGGTACGCTATACGTAAATACGTTCCTCCCCAGATCCACCTCTATATTTCGCGAGATCGTGGAAGGCGCGTCGCGATCGCGCACCTTTGATCGCAATCCTTTGTCCTCGCAATCCTCCTTTTCTCTCGATCGGGGGCGGGCAATTCCGCTAGTTCGTCGCAGCCAGTGTAGCGCGCGAATTTATTATTTAACGGGAATAATCGATGGCTTATGGATACGTGTACCCGGGGTACGTATCCCTCGCGATAGTCGTCATTTTCGCGATGGTGACGCAGCGCGTGGCAGGAAAAGCCGTTCCTCGTCCTCGTCTGCCGCCACGAATCGGCGGCGCGTGAAAGTCGTGAAGTCTCCCGGATTGGGATAATAAAGAAGCGTATGACGAGCGATTCTCCGCGGCTAACCATGCTGGCGAGATTCCGCAACAGCTTCCGCTGCGGCATGCCCAAATGCCCGAGTATTCGTATTCCAGGGATGGAGAAGCCGGAGTCCTCCGCGGCGGGCGAGAGCGCCGGAGACTCCGGAGAGCTCGAGGATCGGGACCCAAACAGCTTGAATCAACATCTTCAGGTAAGATGCATCCGTCTGCAGCCGCCTCTCTTCACGATCGATGAATCTGCACTCGTACTTGTCTTTGCAAAATTTTGTACATCACTGAATAATTAATGCAAATGGCATTTTTTTTTTTTTTTTTTTTTTTTTTTTTAAAAAAAAA